TATATACTTAATGCACTAATAAAAACTATATTAATATATAGATTTTTTAAATTATATATATGTGTTTGTGTGTGGTTAGTAGTGCAAGATATAAAAAATACAAATATATTTCTAAAATGTGTATATATAGTAAAAACGTCTTGCTCTAATAACTATTGATAATATGAATGATATATATTAAAAATATTAATTATAATACATATAAACATATTATAATTATTATATACTGTATAATACAATATTATAATAATTATCATATATATATATATATATATATATATATATATAAAGATATATATAATTTTAATAGTTATTCTAAGATGTTTTTTTGAGACACTTATGTCTGAAATATATATTTTGCATGACAATAAATACATATATTTAATACATTAAATACATTAATAAATATATGTATTATTATTAATGCAGCTATTAGTGCAAAATGTTTCTGAAACTTATATAAAATATTTAATGTCATGCAAAAATATCTATTTATATAAAATATAGTTTAAAATTTTCATTTCTATTTATATAAAAATATTTTTCACGACATTAAATGCTTATATAGTATTAGTATATTTGATATTAAATGACATTGACATTAAATATATTTATATATATAAGCTTCTGAAAGTGTCTTGCTCTAATAGTGGTCAATTAATAGTATTTTAAATATATATATATTTAAAAAAATATATATATATATATTTTTTTTTAAAGTAAGTTTTGGGGATTTTTTCCACTCATTTCAGGCAAAAATCTGGCACTTTCTTGTAGCTCAAATAGTACAACATGCCATTAGTAACACCAAGATCATGGGTTCGATTCCCAGGGAAAGCATGAACTGATGAAATGCAAACCTTGAATGCAACGTAAGTCACTATAAAAGCATCTGCGAAATGCATAAAAGTTAAAAGCAATAAAACACCTCTGCCATGATTTCATGCAGGTCCAGGGTCACATGCAATGGTTTGTTCAAATGATTAACCCTAACTATGAGCATTAGTTATAGCGATGCATGACTTGGCAAACACTGTTTTGGTGGAGATGATAGTTGCAATGGGATATTTTGTGAGCAATGCTATTACAGCTTCTTAAACGCACTTTCAGAGAGATGAAGTGATTAGCTGCAGGTGTGAAGCAGTCGTGGCAGCAGCTGTCTGTGTGTCCGCTGTGACCCTCAGGACCCCGCTGGGCCCCAGGACAGCAGGGCAGGAGCCATTAGTGCTGCTCTGGAGCTCAGACTTTCTCACTTTATTCTGCTGCTAAATGAGGAATTAGCCTGACGCCTCCTTCTTCTGCTGGCAGTAAATGGCTTTTGCTACCTAAAATCTCTCGTTTTAATAGAGAGGCCAAGGGCTATGAGCCAAATTAGTTTGTGCTTTCGTTCCCCTCAGTTCATTAACTGCAGCGTTAAACTTCCAGAAGAGTTTTCCCAGTAAAAGTCCAGGATGTTTTTCCACAAATACTCCTGGACTTCCTGAGCAGGAACTGCAGGTTTTTCAGAGGAAAATGAGAAAAGTGAAGGAAAATGTGTTGAAGTTTAATTCTTAGTCTTATACTTTGATACGGTTTGTTTAAATCACTAACACTAAATATAAACCTCAGAAAACTAGAAAAAAAAGCCTTTTTAATTGTTTATGCTATTTATTTGTGGAGTCATCCATGTATTTATTCGTGGTGTCTGTTTCAGTGTTATTTTATTATTATTATAGTTTTTATTAATATTTTGAATTCGTTTAAATTTTTTATATTTTTCGTTTTTATATTTATATTTTTTTGTTTAATTTTTAGTAAGTTAAATGATTTGCGTTTGACATTTTTATTTGATTTTTTTATATTACAATTTAAGTTAAATAATTTTTTATTTCGGTTTTAATTTGTATTTCCATTTAGTAATTTTAGTACTTAAAATTATTTCAGATAATTGCCAAGAATATTTTTCAGTTTAAAAAATAAAAATTATATATATATTATATATAATATATAAATATTATGTATTTTAAAATATATAATTAGTTTGTTTAAATTTTAGTAAAATTATTTTAATTTGTTTTAATTAGTTTGACTTTTTATTCATTTCCAGTTTGTATTTTTTTTTTTTATATTTCTATTTAGGCTGAATTTATTTTTATTTAATTTTTTTGTTCCGTTTTCATTTTTATTTATTTTCAGCTAATAATTTTTGTACTTTAACTTAAACATATTTCAACACATTTCGAATTTTTTTTGTTTTCATTTGTCAAATGATTTGTGGTTTTGTGATTTAAAAAAATTTTTTTTTTTTAAATATTGCTATTTAGAATTCATTTATTAACATTTTATTTTTTACTTTTTATTTATTTCCAGTTTCTAATTTAATAAAAAAATTTTGCTTACTTTAAGTTTTTAATCTAATCTATTATATATACTTTATTTATTTTAATTTCAGCTTTATTTTAAGTAACAACCTTTCTAATAGTTTTTTTTTTTTTTACTATAATAACTACTTCAGTCTATTTGTCTGTAGATGTTTATATTTCTACTTATTCATGCTGCCCTCTTTGGTCTTTATATTTTAGTCTTTTTTTGTATTATTTATATATAATATTTTTTATTAGCATTTAACATTTAAAGTAAAATTTTAATTTTTAAGTAAGTAGTCTTTTGTCATTTTTATTATCTAAAATAATTCATTATTTGTATTGTCATTTTTCCAGCTTTATTTCAAGTAACACAAATGTTTGTAATAGTCGTCGTTTTTACTAGAATAACTGTTTGTCTGTAGCTGTACATCTGGTCCAGGTACGGGGTCAGCGAGACACAGGGTCAAGAGGTCACGCCCTCATCAGTGCACATCCTGTGGAAATGAGGCAGAGGATGTCATTAAGACAGATTACTCTTGCGCATATGCTGGACTCGTTTACTCACACTGTTTTAGTAGCAGCTCACTGATGGGTTTGCATTAATTGTAAGTGCTTTTGCTAAATTAGGTTGTTTGCTGGATTATTTTAGTTCAGGAAGTCCACAGATCCATTCACTTAACATTTCAAACCACATTTAATCAGCAGTTTCCCACAAGCAATTTATGCAAAGCAGCGAGTCTACAGTTTCCCCTGCTGCATAGCTGCATAGTTTATTCTAATGTAAGCAAAATATCATTGACATTTACTGGATTGGCAGCAGAGAAGTCGTCTGGCATGTTTATCTTTATGTGGTTGTTGAGGTTTCCAGTGGAGCGTTTTGCAGGAAAACTGTGGATGATTTATATGTTTGGAGAAAAAAAAGGATTGTATGGGGAGTAGAGATGCTCCAAACCGGGATAAAAACAGATCAGCATTGAAAATTGCTTTCCCAGAGTGACACAAACAGGTGCATTTTGTGTTGATTCAATATTGCTGATGCAATTTAAGAGATTTATTTGTACTGTATTGACAGTGTTTTCATTTTACAAAGTAAAAATAACTAGGAAATCATTGGCTAGCATCCTTTTTTTTCTTTCAAAAAGGTACTGTATTTATGTATTAAGATGGTAATTGACCAAAAATGCAGTATTACCATGGAAAAATGTACTTTGAGGTACTTTCTTGTAATGTACCCTAATATAAACCCTACATAATATGCATTTTGTGCCTCATATACACTGTAAAAATAATTTTTTGAAGTGGCAGCTGAAGTTGAAGGACTAAAATTACTAGCTGGAAATAAATAAAAACTAAAATAAAAATAAATACTTTTTTTTTTTTTTTTTTTAGAAACAATATTACTAAAAAACAACAACTGAAATATAGAAATAAAAGCTAATTTAAAATATTAATAAAAACTGTAATAGTACATAAATTATACTGCAATGAATAAACACTGAAACAGACAAACCACATTAAGGGCACCTCAAATACACAGAGTATATTAAAAAATATTTCTAAAAAAAAAAATCTATTCATGTATATATTTACATATATTAAGTTCATTTTAAATATACCTTAAATATATTTTTATATATATGTAGTACAAATAAAATTATATTTTATTATTAATATTTTTAGAAAAGCATATTGCAAATTATTTTTATATTATTATTTTTTTTAATAAAATATAAATTAATTCAGCTTTTTTTTCAAATTTTCTAAGATTTATATTTAGTTTGAGTGACTTTAACAAACCCTTATATAAGTATTACACAAAAGTGAAGAAATACACCCGATTCATGGATATGCAAATATTTTCTCTTAAGCATGGGAGGTCCTTGTTGAAGATCTTAATTTAAAAATAAATATTTAGCAATAACTGTCCTACATAAGTATGCTGTGATCACTGATATGCTTTAAAGTATTTTTCTATCTCGGTATCTCATTATTGAGGATCTGCTGGGTGGGAGGGAATCCTGCAATGTCAGATGACTTCCTTTATCCCAGATAACACGAGGAAGACGATAAGATCGCTGATACACACAAGAACAAGGCCTCTTTAGTGTCACTCCACGTTTGCCAGGATCCTTCACCCCGTGACTTTTCTCTTGAAATATGCTCGCTTTATTTGATAATCCCTATTTTATGTATCTTCCTTTTTGTTTTTACACATCCGCCCTGATCTGGCGCGTCTCGTGCAGCGTCTGTCTGCTTCTGTCACGCAAGCATATTTGTTTTGACTGACTTGGATACACCTTGAAGCGCTGCTCTGGAGTCAGCCGTAACCCTTCGTTATCTCACCTGAGATACACACGGCTGATTCTGGGTCAGTTAGTGCTGTATTGTGTGTTACTACAGGGTTATATTAGTCTTTTGGCACCGAGCGCTGTGTTGTTGAGTGCCAGGAGTCTCATAATTGTGGGATTGTGTGCTTCGGCTGTCACCACATGAAGTGCTGCTGCTTTTCAAGGCTTGAACTCACATTCCTGTTACACAAGTTGCTGTTTGTCTCTTGGACGGCCTCAACGCTGCCGTTACAGTCGACTCCAGATGCTGAATTCATGTAATGTCACATTCATTTTCTAAACCGTCCCCTGTTCTCTTTCTCTGCAGGGAACGCAGTTGTCCAGCGCCGACGAGAGCGGCCGCAAACTCGGAGTCACGTTTCGATACGACAGTAAGACACTTTATTATCAGACCTGTCTCTGACTATACAGTTAATAATCTTATTTTGCACAAAGAAAAAAAAGTTTATTTAGACTCCATCAGTTCTTTTAAGTTGTGATGTTAATTTAAAATTCTCATAAACTGCATCATGCATCTGGATGCTTTCCTTCTCAAATCACAAAACAAACTCTTATAATACAAACTCTCAAAATATTATTTTTCCAAATTCTATTCTTGATAATTCTCATTGGATACTCTATTATACTATATTATTAAAACATTACTGATAAATTATGATAAAAATAATATATATGTGTATATATATATATATATATATACAGTATATATATATATTTATTTGTTAGTTATTATTTAATTACAAATATTTATATATATATATATATACATTAAAAATAAAAGCATAATAAACTAAATTTGGTGTGAATTTAAATAAAAGTAATCGACTGAAAAGTTGTACACATACTACATTAATGCATCAATACTTTACCATTTAAATAATATATCATTATTTATTTTGCATAATGGTAATAAGAATTATTTGGAAAAATTATTATTTTTTACATTAGTTTTATTTAAATCAGCATGAATAAAAATATAATCAACTGTAAAAGGCAGTACACATACTACTTTGATTTATTAATACTTTACAATTTAAGTAATATATCATCATTTATTTTGCATTTTGATAATAAGAATAAGAAACAAACAAAATAGTAAATTAAAAAGAGGCAGTACACATACTACATTAATGCATCAACACTTTGCAATTTAAATCAAATTTTATTAATTATTTAGCATTTTGATAATTGTTTGAGAAAATTTTAAATATATATATTTTTATTTAAATCAGCATAAATTAAAATAACAAAAACTAAAGAAAGGCAGTACACATTACATTGATGCATCAATACTTTGCAATTTAAATAATATATCATTATTTATTTCACATTATGGTAATGAAAATTGTTTGGAAACATTATTGTCATTTTCTTATTTAAATAAAATTATTTTTATTTAAATAAGCTAAAATTAAACAAAAAAAAATAAAATTGGTGCTTAATTTTCACTAAAACAATGTCACAAAAGAAATCTTAATTTTCTTTAAATGTAGTGTTTGTCATATTTTTTGACGTTGCAGTATTTCGTCTCAAAACATCACAACATTGCTGAGTTTATTTGAGCAACATTGGTTCAACCAATGGCGTGAGTTTGGGGCGGGACTATCTATTTGTCAGCCAATAGAAAGCAGGGAAGGGTATTTAGGCAACCTGTTTGAAAACATTATTTATAGTATATAAATATAGTCTATATATAATATATATAGTCATTATTGTTCTATTCTGTGATGCTAGAGGCAAAGAAATGACACTCTCTGCATTTAAAGCAATGTATTCTTTTATCTATATGTTATATAAAGTGATTTTTGGTGTGAAATATGACTCGGGAATGTTCTTTGTATGAGTCACCCTAATTGATTCTCTCTGCTTGGCTTAATATAGCTTTTATTCTCTTGTTAATGCCAAATGTTGTTTCAGTCAAGCTCTTATCCCCCCTTAAGTGCTGAAAAGTCAAGTTTCTCATCTTGTAGCTAATCCCGGTTTCTGCTCGGCATTCAATCCCCATTGTGTGTGACTACGAACGGGAACGGGCCTGATTCTGGTTAGCATCACAATAGGGATTGCGTAAAAAAGAGCGACGGGGTGTGAGGGACACAAACGACTGCTCCTCTTCCTATACCTGCTTATCTGCAGCCGCTGAGGAGAAAGAAACAAGTGAAAAAAAGAAAGACGGAAGGCACAAAGAAAGAGGGAAAGAGCGTCTCCTCGCATGGCTGCATATTTACTCTCGCCGCTTGCCAAAGAATCTCACCGGTGTTCTCACTGGGAAACACTGCCTGACTTTGTTTCACTCTCTCTCACTCTCTCTCTCTCTCTCTTTGTGTTCCTGCTCTTTCTGTCCCAATTAGACTGCTCTCTGAACTGGAATCCGCTGGGCAAACACGCCATCCATGAAGTGAACAACATCACCTACAGTCATTTATCTTGTGACAGCCAGGCAGCCGTGGTGGTCCACTGGATGGCTAGCCCTCTCGGTAGGTTTCTTCTCAGCTGTGTTGGAGAAACTACTTTAAAACACTTGACATTTCAGTTTCTGGCCCAGTGGAGTCCCAATGGGGCGGGACTATCTTTTAGTAGACAGGCCATTTTCAGTCTACCCTTTTGCAAAAGTAGTTACCAACAGTAATACAGATTAGATCATTTTTGTCCAAAAAAAGACATGACGTAATCAAAAAGAGGTTCACATTTAGGGTGACTTCAGACTTTATCATCAAACAGATTCACATAAAATGCAACCAAGAATTCTGTATTAGTTGCATTTAGTTTAATTTTGTCAGATAATAAAGACATATGCATGTGTGTGTGTATGTATATGTATATATGAATGTATATCGAATTACACTAAATGCAAATAATATATGCAAAAAAAATGTATGTGTGTATGTATGAATGTTTATGTTTGCATATTTATTAATATATATATATATATATATATATATATATATATATTAGTTGTATTTAGTGTTATTTGTTAGGTTATATACACTGTTGCATTTAGTGTAATTTTTGATGATATTTTAAAAATTTTAATAAAACACTTTTTTTATATGCATTTTATTTGCATTTAGTGTAAATTTGCATAGTAGCATATCAGACAAATGTACACATTTATATATTCTCCTCTATATTTGTGTTTGCAATATAATGCGACAAAAAACAAGCATCTTGTCGCAAAAAAAAAAGATTCTTAATTGCAAAGTTGACTTACTGTGAACTTAAAATAAAGTTTTTTATGTCATTAATTTTAGTCAGTTACTTCCCTCGACTGAAATCAATAACCATTAGTGGTTCAGTCGATGGAAAAGTTTGTGTTTCCAAAAACAGAGATTTCTGCATGTCTGCACTTTCCATTAGCGTGCACGAACCCATAACAAAGCGCATTTTAAAGTGCATGTGTGTTGCACGGGTGGTTGCACATGAGGGTGATTTATCGTAGTCCATCTCCAGCCTGGAGAGAATGGAACAGGAGCTCAAAGAAAGGCTGAGTTCCTGCTCTTCCTGATCAAAGCCGCAGGTTCCCTCCTCCCGGGGCGTATTATTCTCCGACCCTGACAGTCCCGCGGATCCGTTTAAGACACGGGAATAGATCGGCACATAGCAGCGCTGTGATTTTTGTCCTGGGAGGAATGTGTGCGTGTGTGGCTGAGGGAAAGATGGGGATGTCCCTCGCTTCCGTCTGCCAGGGCGCTATTGAACTTGGTAATGCGAGCTTTCGGCTGACAAGCGGGACAATGTTGCCTGTTGTTCACTCGAGGTTAATTCTTTTGACTAAGGCAGGACTTGACACAGCTCAGGTGTATATTAAAGAATCTCGAAGAAGAAAGCCTTGGGTGTGGGGCCTTTTCCTCATGCACTGAACTTAAAGGGACAGTCCACCCAAAAAATGAAAATGCATCAATTAGTCACCCTCAAAGATACTTTGGACGGTCTTAAAGATGCTCTTTTCCATGCAATGAAAGCATTTTGTGACCAGCAACATGTTTTAACCTCCAAAAACTACAAAAAATACAATAAAAGTCAAGAATTTAAGTAATTTTTCACATAGTCTTTCACAAATCTCATTTGCACTGCCGCGTGTTTCTTCAGTTATGAGACAAACCAGAAGCAATAGCATTTGGTTTCTGACAACAAACCTAGAATCATGCATGCGCATGTTTCCTGTACAAAATTATCACATGGCTCCATAATTAGTTATATTTGTGTCTTTTTTGAATGCAATCAAATATACTGCGTTTGAGAGCAAAACTTATTATATTTTATATATTATATATATTTTTATATATTTTATATTTAATAAAAAAAAATAAAGGATTGCAAATAAAAAGTCTTCTTAAGGCTGTTTTAATTACAAAATAAGCAACTGATAACTTTTTGATCAAACTTTGTATAACAAAGATTTGCATCAGTTATCAGTTACTTTATTTTTGTGATTAAAACAGCCTTAAGAAGACTTTTTATTTGCAATCTTTTATTTTACTTAATTCCAAAATGTGTTGCTCTTAAACACAGTATGTTTGATTGCATGAAAAAGACACAAAAGTAACTCCATTAAAGAAGATTGAGAAATTGCGCACAAAATATACACATTTTCGGTGCATTTATGGTGTTTTTAGTCATTTTTGGAGGTCAGAAGTACGAGTTCCCATTCACTCTCATTGTATGTGTGAAGCGTGAACATTTTTCATAATTTCTCCTTTTATGTTTTAAGCCATACAGGTTTAGGATGACATGAGGGTGAGTAAATGATGACAGTTTTCATATTTGAGTGAAATTTTACATACATTTTTCATATCATGAGCGAACTGGGGGTTTGTGAGGGATAAAAACATAAAAAAATAAAAAACAATAATAATAATAATGTTAATAAATGTACATTACTTTAAAAAAAATCAAAATAAAACACAAAAAAAGATTTATAAATATTTCGTTTGTTTACGGTCATGTTATGTGACCATTAACCAACATTAGAGAACCATGAACATGCAAATGTGTTTTTAAATTATTGAAATATTAATTTCGTAGAAGTGAATATTTTAGGTCAAATGGATTCAGGTGACACATTTCTTTTTGTCATAATAATCATTTATAATAATTTAAATAATAATTTAGTTTTTAAAATATTATTTAGAAATATTATTCTTTGTTATTGTATGTTTGTTCATGAAATGAATATTGATATTTTAATAGTGATGCACCAAAATGCATTTTTTACAGATATACTGAAACCAAAGTTTTCATTTAGCCAAAAATAAAGTTTCAATTAATTAATCAAATTTATTAATAATCAACACTCAAATAAAATATTAATTTAATTTATACATTTAAATTTTAAATAAAATTTTTGAAACATTTAAAACATAATTTTTTTTAAACTTAAGTGATTATATAAACTTTTTCATGATATTATTATGTTTTGTTGAATATTTATACTTCAGGTATATATATAACTTGTTTCATGACACATTAAATAATGAATGTTTAGTGAAGTTTTGTTCACACATCATCTCTAGAAATTACATTAGCCTAGATGAATAAATGCTGAAACACTATTTTTCATTGTTAGTTCATAATACCTAATGCATTAACTTGATTACTTAAAGCAGCCCTCTACAAGAGCCGGAAAACGAGTGAGTGAAAACGAGAGCGCACAACCAGTTCTGCAGCTTTTTTTCCACCTTCACTGGTGTTTTTGAAGGTTGTGTGTGATGGGCGGCTCTCTCTTGATGCTATCTGTAGGCTGGCGGAGGTGTGGAGTTACACCCGTCCCATCAGGCCGCTCCCCGCCGCGGTAATCAGAACCACACGGAATGTGTGCGGGAGCCTTTTCTTCTCCCCTCTTCCCTCTGCAACTGATAAGACAGAAATCTAATTAAAAGGGAGGCAGGCTGGCACACTTTGAAGGGCACGGGAATGCTCCGCTGGCACGCACGCTCCCGTCCGCTCTGTCTTCAGGGGTGCTAATAAAAAAAGAAACAGAGGGAAAGAAAGGAAGGGGAAAAATGGTGCATGCTTTAAAAGTTGCATGCTGTTTCCAGTCCTGAAAGTTTATGGCGGGACTTAAGCAGGTTTACAGTAGGTTCTGTGCACATCCCACACATCTGAAATTGCAGACTCAGACTTATGCTGTAAGGCCGAACTATACAGCTGTCTATGGCGTTTCACAATCCTATAAACTCATTAGAAAATGTAAAAAATCTACAAGGAGTATGCTCTATAACCACCCGTATTTGCATATTCAGTGCTTCGGCCAAAAATTGCACCAGTTAACTGAGAGTCTTAAAGGTACAGTAGCAAAAACAGCTTGTTTATTCAGGTCAGAAAGGGTGGAAAATGGTAGTAAAAAGCTACATTTACATTCTTGAGCCAATACACCTTGCCTAAATAAAAAACTTAATGAGGGACAATACACATTAATAATACACACATGTAAAAATGTGTCAAATTGAGCCAAATTGGCTACTTTTCACGCGTAGTCCCTTAATAAAATAAATAAATATAACTAAATAAAATGCAAATGTCTCCTTTAATACATTTTGGGTTGTTATCTATTCTATAAACGTGATTTGCGCTAGTGAGCTAAGAATCTTAAAGGTACAGTAGAAAAAATAACCTTTTTATTCATGTCAGAAAGGGTGAAAAACGGCCATAAAAAGCTATATTTAATAAACCTTTGAAATCAATCCAAAAAAATATATAAAATGCAAACGTGTTCCTTTTAATGCTTTTTTAGGATGTGATCTATTCTAAAAATGTGAACTGCATCAGTTAACTGAGAATCTTAAAGGTACAGTAGCAAAGACGGCTTGTTTATTCAGATCAGAAAGGGTGGAAAATGGCCATAAAAGGCAACATTTACATTTTTGTGACAATAAACTGGACTAACATTAAAAAGCATGGCCGAGAAAAAATATGCAAAAATTGGATGTGATCTATCCAATAAACGCTCTTGACGCAATGCAAATATGAATTATGAATTGCTCAATAATTTGTGCAATAAAACTAAGATGCAAAGGAGCATATTTTCAAATAGTCTTTTTTGTTGTCTCAACCACGAGCTCATTAACATATGACCGCCCACATTTTCATATTCAGCACGTCATTCTGATGAACAATGTGAATTGCACCAGTTAACTGAGAATTTTAAAGGTACAGTAGCAAAAACAGCCTGTTTATTCAGGTGAAAATGGCCATGAAAAGCTACATTTACATTTTTGAGCCAATAAACCTTGACTAATATTAAAAAGTGGCTCCAAGAAAAAATTAAATGCAAAAATATTTCCTTTTTGATGCTTTTTAGTATGAGACCTATTCTATAAATGTGAATTGCATCAGATAACTGAGAATCTTAAAGGTACGGTATAGCAAAAACAGCCTGTTTATTCAGATCAGAAAGGGTGGAATATGGCTATAAGAAGCTATATTCACCAGAAAACATTGTCTAACATTATAAATCAACTAAAAAATGCAACATTATGAATTGCACCAGTTATCAAAGAATTAATGGTACAGTAGCAAAAACAACCTATATATTCAGATCAGAAGGGTGAAGAATTTCCATAAAAGGCTACATTTACATTTTTGAGCCAGTTAACCTGGACAAACTCCCAATATGAAATGCAAAAATATGTTCTTTTGAATGCGTTTTAGGATGTGATCCATTCTATAATTTCTTTCGGTACAATGCAAACATGAATTGCTTGATAATTTATGCATTTTCAAAGCCATCGGTTGCACAGGTGTGCTGCAGTCATCTGGATTTATGTCTGTGCTTTTATATCATCTAATCCCCTTTAATTCATGCGACCTGTTTGATCGGCTAGGTATTGAACATGTGAAAGGATTCAGAGTGCATCTGGAGGACAAGAATCCCGAGGGAAAGCAGTGCCAGCACATGATTCTAAAGGATCCGCGACAGCTTAACTTCTCTTACAAAACCGTTGTAAGTATAATATGCTTTATATTAGACACAATTTAGTGGAAATGAATTTTTGTGTTCATATTCATCTGTTTTTCCCAACAGAGGATGAGCTCACAGCCCTTCTCTGGTCTCACCTTTGAGACGGACTACATGGTCAGAATCGTGCCGTTTCCCACGTTCTTGAACGACAGCTTCTTTCCGCCATCTTTTCTGCGCACTAACAGTGAGTGTTAAGCCTGAAACGATACTATAAAAAACATGTTTGTGGCTTTATTTGATCCTACCTTTAGGAAAAATATATATATAATTAAACATTTATTATTATTATTATTAAATATTTATAAGTATTAATGCCATTAAAAAACAATTTATAATTAAAAAATATTCTGGTACACAAAATGACCAATTACTTATTTTTTTTACTATTAGTTATTGTTTTATATTCTAACTTAATGGATATTTAACGTGAAAAATTACTTTATCTTTTTTGCGCAGAAGTAAACATACTCTACAAAACAAAAATGTGTTTCTGGCCATATTCTTTTAGAATTTTGGAAAAATATATTTTTATTTATTTATTAAATGTTAATGAGGTTTTTACCAAAAAATATTTAGAATTATAATTAAAATCATTCAAACATATCCTGTTATACAAAATGACAAATTTATAATTAAATGTTTAAAATGGGATTATAAATATAATTATAATTTATTTTGTAATTTATTTGTAGTTTATTTTTATTATTACTATGATTTATAATATTTATAAATATTCATTTGAGGTTTTTATATATATTTTTAATTATATTTGGTACACAAAATGACAAATGTATAATTAAATGTTTATAATTTAATTATAAATGTAATTAAAATACTTATAAAATAATGATAATTTATTTGCTAATTTTATAATTTAATTTTAAAATTTATAATTTGCTGTTGTTATTATTAGACATTTTTATATTTTTCATTTTGTTTTTTATGAACATTTATAATTAAAATAATTGATAAAATATTACTTTTTTTTTTTTACAATCAGTTAGTGTCATATTCTAACTTAATGGATGTTTAAAATTACTTGACTGCTTTTGGAAAAATTGTGCAAAAAATAGTTATAATAATAGTAATAGTAATAATAGTTTCTTGTTCCTTGCGTTCTCACAGGTTGTGAAGTGCTTCTTGGCCCAGATAACCTCGTCTGCAAACCATGTGAGTTTTATATTTTTCATTTTGTTTTTTATGAACATTTATAATTAAAATAATTGATAAAATATTACTTTTTTTTTTTACAATCAGTTAGTGTCATATTCTAACTTAATGGATGTTTAAAATTACTTGACTGCTTTTGGAAAAATTGTGCAAAAAATAGTTATAATAATAGTAATAGTAATAATAGTTTCTTGTTCCTTGCGTTCTCACAGGTTGTGAAGTGCTTCTTGGCCCAGATAACCTCGTCTGCAAACCATGTGAGTTCTTTAGAGACAGAAAAGCTGTGCCAAGCTGTGAAACGGCCTAAACAGGGACTTCAAATGAAACCGAAACCAACCTTGCTCTTCTTTCTCTTTCTTCCCTGACAGTCTGGAAGCCCAAGATGCTGAATGTTTCTCAACTCGGATCTAATTTGCATGTTGTGTTTGACCACGCCCCTTCCACATTCGGCTTCACCATCTACTACCTGTACTACAAGCTCAGACAGGAGGGGCCCTTCAGACTCAAACGCTGCAAACCTGTGAGCAGTTTACCTAGTAATTGCATTGGAAAATTCATAAACATTTGCATTCATAATTCACCCCAAATGCTCACTCTCATGTCATTTCAAGGAGTGTTTCCTAATGATTTGCATGTTTGCATCATCGGGTTACTGTAAGTGTTTGCATACTGTTAGCTTTGCACACACACGGTTTTCTAGCAGGAGGTTCTGGGTTAATGCGTGTAATGCTCTTCCCAGACAGCTGGAATAATATATAGTCTTATCCTGTTGAGTCGGCGCTCTGGGAAATGGACGTGTTCTGCTGCTTTCCACGCTTTGGTTGTGCTGGAGATGGAAATATAAAGAGCAGAGAGCTTTTACAGCAGCACTTTGTCACTTAGAAACTGCGCTGGGAGTTAGAAGTCGGCTATCTGTCTTTCTTTTTTGCGAAGGACATGTATGTTTGGTTCTGGACTAACTGTCTTCAGGGGATAGTTGAGCTGAAAATGGATATTCTGTCGTGATTTACTCACCCTTGTGTCATTTAAATGCATTTGACGTTCTTTCTTCTGTGAGAAGTGTGCTCATGCTGCTCTTCTCCATACAGAGAAACTCAGTCGAATTGGGACGGAGGCTGTTAGGCTCCAAAAAATAATCTAAAGAAATGGAAGCCCAAGACATATTTTGAAGACATATGACAAGAATATAAATGAGTGATTATCTCATTATTATTAATACATTTATTTATTTATATAATAATAATAATAATAATAAAGTTAATAAATAATACTAGTAATATAAATCGAGAAAAGCACATAACAAATACAATGTATAATAAAAAAATGTATATTCTAATAATAATAATAACAACAATAATAGTAATTATTATTATATAATTCATTTGAATAATTATTTATATTTTAATTATTATTACGACTATTAGTATTAGTAGTAGTACTTATTATTTATTAATAATAATGTCAATAATTATTATCAATGCAATAAATTATTAAATGTGTATTCATTATTTATTATTTTTATAATTATTCTGATGATGATTATTATTATTATTATAATTAATAATTATAATTATATTAAATAATAAATACTACTGGTAATAGTAATTGAGAAGATCACATTACAAATAAAATGTATAATAATTATAAAAATTAATATCCTAATAATAATAATATTTTTATGTAATAATAATTAATTATGAATAATAATTTATATTTTGCTAAATTATTATTATTACTATTATTATTATTAGTAGTACTTATTAATTATAATTTATTAATAATAATGTCAATAATGATTATTGATGGAATGAATGAATAAATATTAATAATTTATTATGTTCATAATATTTATTATAATTAGCATAATTAATAATAATTATTATATTAAATAATAATAAATACTACTAGTAATAGTATTTGAGAAAAGCGCATTTCAAATAAAATAAATAATAATAATAATATTATTATATATGAATAAACATTATTATTATTATTATTATCATTTTTAATTGTTATTATACATTTTATTTCTAATACGCTTTTCTCAAACCCAGAGTGCTACAAGCAATTAAACATTAAATATCAACAAACAGTGAAGTTCACTGACGCACTAAATGGCTAATTAACAACAGAAAGATAAATGGCGCTCCATGTTTAAATGTACACTTTATGGTGTTTTTTTAATCATTTTTTGAGTTATCTCTGTAAGACTTTGGCTGAAGCAAAGTCTTTATTCTCTTGGAATCACAATGTCGTGATTGATTTCATTTAGAGGTTTTATTATTTCAACACCAGCATGAGGCGTTTCATATTTGTGTCATTTTGGAACACGACCTGGTTCTTTTGAACCATGTTATTCACATCTTCTTCCTATCAGAGGGTGTAAAAGCATTGTCCTGGCCTTTTTCAGAAGAGCGCAGCGGTCATATCTGTGGCCGGGCCGGGTGGCATTGTTTGTAGCGATAATAGAAAGAGGTGAAATTTGAGGTGAGCGATGCCACCAACGGGGGATTCCAGAGTTCAGACACCCTATGGATCTCTGTGAGATCATTGTTATCGTTTCACTTTCCCACCACAGGTTTCTAAGTAACTGAGTGCATTAGAAACCCTGTTTTAATGTAGAGCATCTGTAACAGTAACAGGGTGAACAGTTTACCTGTTTGTTTAGCTTTTTCCATCCTTGTTCTTAAAGTAATGGCACTTTAAGGTGTTTATTAGAAAGAAAATTCAATGCTGATATGTCTATGAATATCACATTTTCAAAGACAGTTTGCTGAAAATGTGCTCACCCTCAGGCCATCCGAGATGTAGATGAGTTTGTTTCTTCATCAGGTTTGGAGAAATGTAGCACTGCATCAGTGTCTCAGCAATGGACGCTCTGCAGTGAATGGGTGCCGTCAGAATGAGAGTCCAAACAGCTGATAAAAACATCACAATAATCCACAGCACTCCAGTCCATCAGTTAATGTCTGGAGAAGAGAAAAGCTGCGTGCTTGTAAGAAACAAATCCATCATTAAGGTTGCTTTTAGCTAAAATACGAGTCCATAATCCATAAAAACGCTTCCTCCAATGAAAAAGTCGTCTTGTCTGAATCAGGAGAGAAATCTGCACAGATCAAGCACAGTTTACAAGCAAAAACAGCTCTAAACAAATATGTGGGTGGATTTTGATGTGAGAGAAAAACAGATGATGGACTTTTTCACTGGAGGAAGCGTTATTATGGATTGTAGACTTTAATTTTATCCAGAAGCAATGCTTTAAAGTTAAAACGTCTCAATAATGGATTTTTTTTTTACAAACACGCAGCTCTTTACTTCTCCAGACATTAACTGATGGACTGGAGTGGTGTGGATTATTGTGATGTTTTTATCAGCTGTTTGGACTCTCATTCTGACGGCACCCATTCACTGCAGAGCATCCACTGATGAGCAAGTGATGCAATGCTACATTTCTCCAAATCTGATGAAGAAACAAACTCATCTGCATCTCAGATGATCTGATGGTGAGGAAATGTTCAGCAGATTTTCATTTTTGGATGAACTGTTCCTTTAAAAGTTGGTGCAACATATTAACTTACACATTTGTTAATGAAGGCCACAAGTAGCTCTTGGTTTATGGAATGACCCAGATATTATCATTGCATATAATTTTACATAAAATGCATTACACATTTTTAAATAATGTGTCTCTGTTTTCCTTGCAGGAGCAAAATGGCCCCAAAACTACATGTGTTCTACAAGACGTCACTCCAGGAACTTACGCAATAGAGGTTTGAGCGTTATTCATTTCATATGCAATTAAATGGGTTTCATTTAATGTTTATTGAACTAAGCAGAACAAATCTGCTTTGCTATTCCTGCAGCTTCGCGATGACAACAACTCGACCAGAAAACAGACGCAGTACCACGTGAGCCAAGGTAAAAAGGCTTTGCCGTTTTCATACTTTTGAATATTTAGCGTCTGTATTCAGACTGATCAGATGTTGTTTGTGTTTGCAGTGCATTCTCCGTGGGCCGGACCGATCCGCGCCATGGCCATCACCATCCCGCTGGTCATCATGTCGGCCTTCGCCACTCTCTTCACCGTTATGTGTCGCAAGAAACAGCAAGGTGCGTGTCCGTCACTACACACGTTTGCGCTCACGCCATTCTGCTGCATCTCTGCTCATTCCTCACAAAAGAAACTCCTGTAAGCCTGTTAGTGTGTAATGCATCTTACAGAAGCAAAATTATGTTCAGTTTCCAACGTTTTGGGAAGATTCCCCTCACAAAACCTCATAGAATACCTTGGTTTCTACAGTTACTGTTAAATCTGTGAAATCCTAACTAGGTTTTTCATTTTCTGAAGAACTTTTGCGAAGTCACCGCCACAATTCTAGGGTTGCCATGGCGTTCCTGTGTGGTTGCTAAGGTGTGCTGAGGGTCTTATTACACGTTGCTAGGGAGTTTTGGGTGGTTGTTAGGGCATTGCCAGTTAGTTAAGGATGTTCTGGTTGCTTAGTGGCACAAAAAAGTCTATTCTGGTCTCTAAATCAGTATTATTTTAGTATCATTGAGATACTAATATAGTTTTCATTTATATTTTGAAATCACTTTTATTTTTGTATTTTATTTTTTCATTTTCATTTTAAAGTTTTAGTAATTACGTTTTTGTCATTTTTATTAGTTTTTTCCCCTCTAGTTTTAAAAATGTTTTCTAGTCAAAAAATAAAATAAGTTTAAGTTTTTTTTTTAATACTTCATTGATATTTCAGTTAACATTTATTTAATTTCAAGTAACACATTTTTAAAGGTATTAATTTGTCAACTAGCTGAAATAAAAAAGGTTCAGGTTTTTAAATAATTATTTACAATTTTATTTCAGTTAATGTTTATTTTATTTCATTTAATGAAAATGTTTTTATGGTTTTACTTTCAGTCAGCTAGCTGAAATAAAAGTTTAGGATTTTTTTTGTATTTTATTTTATTTTATTTCAGTTCATTTTTATTTTATTTTTTATGGGTTTAGTTTTAGTCAACTAGCTGAAATAAAATAGGTTACTACTTCAATAGTTTAGTTTATTTTAGTTAACGTTTATTTTATTTCAAGGTACATATTTTTAAAGGTATTATTTTGTCAACTAGCTGAAATAAAAAAAGAATTAAATTAAAAAAAAATTTCAGTTAATGTTTATTTAATTTAAATTAATGAAACATTTTCAATTAATGAAAACTAGCTGAAACGGTTAAGAAAAAGAAAAAGAAAAAGTTCAGTTTTTTAAAAATATTTTTATTTTATTTCAAGTAGCAAAAATAATTTTTTTATTGTTTAAGTTTGTCAACTGCCGAAATAAAATAGTTTCTTTTACAAGTTTTTAAAAAATATTTAATTTTAGTGGTTTATTTTATGTTAAGTAATGATTTTTTTAAAAATCATTTACATTTCAAGTAATGGAAATGTTTTACAATACAATACAATATTACAAATAACCCTGCTCTAGATATGTTTAGCCTCCAAGTCTATGGGATTTTTTCCAATAACTATGGTATTTTAAGCTAAAATATGGTTACCATGGTACATTTTTGTGACGGTGGATTAGGGGGGGATGTAAGACAAAAACATCTGTTGCTCTAGCATGGACCAATTAGGCTTTACTTTCAGTTCTTTCAGTGCTCTAAAAGGAGCTCTCATCATATGGAAACAATAAATGTGCTTTTTTTCCACTCGCTACAAATCTCAATTGATCCTGGTTAGATTCCCGTCTCTGATCTGAATTCCTCTGCAGAGAACATCTACTCCCACCTGGACGAGGAGAGCTCCGAGTCTTCATCTCAGACCACGGCGCTGAGCGCAGACAGACCCTGGCCCAGACCCAAGATCTTCATCTGTTACTCCAGTAGAGACTGTCCCAAACACCTCGCCGTCATCCAGAGCTTCGCCTTCTTCCTGCAGGACTTCTGCGGCTGTGAGGTCAGGAAATACACTACCGTTCAAAGATAATACTGTTATTCAGCAAGGATGCATTCAATTGATCATTAAATTGATCAATAATGCTACAAAACAACTAAATGCTAAATTTCTGTTCATCTGTGAATGCTGAAAGATAAAATGTATCACAGGTTCCATCAGCAAATCAGTATATTAGAATGATTTCTGAAGATCATGTGACACTGAAGACTGGAGTAATGATGCTGAAAATACAGCTTTGATCACAGGAATAAATTACATTTTAACAGATATTCGAATGAACAACAGCTATTTTAAATTGTAATAATATTTCACAATTTTACTGTATTTTTGATCAACCAAATGCAACCTTGGTGAGCAGAAGAGACTTCTTTCAAAAAAAGTTTGACCGGTTTGAAATGTTTGTTGATGACACCCTCTAGTGGCAGGAGAAAGTTGAAGACTCTTTGATCACCCAAATTATTCCACAGATAGTAATCCAGATGTCAACATGAAATAAGCAAGGCTGTAGAGTTTAGTAGACGCTGTGACATGTCCCTACCAATATCAGCCACTGCTAAATTATCCCTAGCAATAATCTTGATCAAACAATTAAATGTCTGTTAATGCCAAAATCAAACCTACACCCTCGGAAATAAGAAATTAATTTATTTACTTTGCTAATACTTGTTCCTGGTCGTGATCCTGTGCATGAATCATCAGTGATTGTTATTTCAAAGAAAACACTTTACAGTCATTTGTTAACATTAGTTAACTACATTAGTTGTCATAATAAACCTAACAATAATAAATACTTCTGCAGTCTTCATTAATATTAGTTATTGTTAATTTCAACATTTACTAGTACATTTGAAAAATCTTTTTCTTTTCTTTTTTGTATCTTTTAACATTAGTTTAATGCACTGGGAAACTATTGTTTATTTAATTAACTAACCAGCTTTAAGGTCTCTCAGAGGTTTTCCACCAAAATAAAAGTTCTGTAGTTAAGAAATGAAGCCATAAATATTATTATTGTAATTTTACTGTTGTTTTGTCAAATTAAAATGATGATGATTATTGTTATAAAATATTTGTTTTCTATTATACAGTATTGTATTATTACAGTATTGTTGCAGTAATATGTTTCTTGATTTATTTTTTATGTTTTAAATAATGAACAAAATAAAATATTTATTTTTTATTAATTATTATTATTAAATACTTGTTTTTTTTATCTTAGAATACAATAGTATTATTGCAGTAGTAATATTTCTTTATTGATTAGTTAAATTTTAAATTTTAATAATTAAATATTTGTATTTATTATGATTATTAAATACTTTTTTTTTTTTTTTTACAGTACAACATTTTTTTTTTTATTGATTTTTAAAAATATTTTAAATAAAATATTTTTAATGTTAATAATAATAATCATACTTTTTTAAAATAGTAAAATAGTTTCAAATGTGACTACATGTCTGTGTGAATGCTCAGGTGGCGCTGGATCTCTGGCAGCACCTGGAGATCTGTAAGGAGGGTCAGATGTCCTGGCTGAGCCGGCGTATCGACGAGGCCCACTTCATCATCACCGTCTGCTCCAAAGGCCTGAAGTATTTTGTGGAGAAAAGACACCGTAAGGGCAAAGCCACGTCGAAGGAGAACAACCGAGAACCGACCGCATCCGACTCCACCGGCAACAGAGACCTTTTCATCGTTGCCACGGCGATGATCTCCGAAAAACTCAAAGAGGTGCATCAAAAGTCCTCGGACCTCTCGCGCTTCATGTCGGTGTACTTCGACTACTCTCACGAGAGCGACGTGCCGACCTCCCTCAGCCTGGCGCCCAAATACAAACTAATGGACCAGCTTCCCCTGCTCTTCGCCAGACTCCACTCTCGCCAGCTCAGCCTGACCGACCGCGAGCCGCAGCCGGCGAATGTCAACAAACGCAACTACTTCCGCAGCAAATCGGGCCGCTCGCTGTACGTGGCCATCTGTAACATGCACCAGCACATCGAGCAGGAGCCCGACTGGTTCGAGAAGCAGCTCATGCCGCCGCCACCAAATAAACTCCTCCCTCCTCCAGAGAAGCTGGACTCGGGGCTCGTCCTGAACGAGGTGAAGCTCAAACACCCCTCGGAGAGCGACTGTCCCGTGAGGAGCAACGTCCTGATCCTGCCGCCGACGCCAAAGCTGGGGCTTTCGCTGAGTTTGTCGCAGGAGGATCTCGGGGAGGGTTCGTCCGGTCAGGATGTGGGTTTGTCTCGGCCGGACGGATCGGCCAGTCCTGTGGAGATGCCCAGAGACTCGGGGATCTACGACTTGTCCGTCCCATCGTCAGAGCTCTCCATCCCGCTGATGGACGGACTCTCACCGGACCACGACAACTCGTCTCTGGCCGACAGCGTGTCCTCCTCCTCAGGACTTGGTAGGAATTTAACATATTATATCATTTAATTTTAGGGTAATAATATCCCTATAGATATATATGCCATTTTTAAAATATATGCAAAATAAATATATGCTGAGGTCTAAGTAAGTCATGGAGCTTCACACAGGGTTGTGATTTTTTAATGTATTTATATGGACTTTCAAATGCAATATTGTGCATTTGAAAATGCAATGCGTCAACCATCTTCTCATATTTGTAATGAGAATCATTTATTAATCTATAAAAAAGGTCAATAGTTCAACAGTTGAATGCAAAGAAATGAAGACAGCCATATTTACTAGTATATATTAGTTTTGTACATTTACTGTTAATCTGTGAAATAAAACAATTTTATTTTACAGTTCAATAGTACTATTGCAATATACATTTAGATTAATTTACTTTTCTAATTTAAATAATGATAAAATAAATATATTTTGAATGTGATCATAATAATAATAATAATTATTATTATTATATTGTACAGTGCAACAGTAATATTGTATATTTTTATTACATGTATTACATGCATATTTTATATATTTATATTCATAATTTTTATTATTAATTAATGTAAAATATTATAAAAATGATATAATTATAATTCAAAAAATTAATAATAATTGTTAATATTATTAAATACTTGTTTTTTATTTGACAGTACAGTAGTATGATTGCAATAGTAATTCATTTTTTATTTCGTTTCTTTTATAATTTAAATAATAAAATAAAAATATGATTTTGAAATAGACAATAATGACAAATATAATTTTTTACAGTACAGTATTATGATTGCAATAGTAATTCATTTTTTATTTCGTTTCTTTTATAATTTAAATAATAAAATAAAAATATGATTTTGAAATAGACAATAATGACAAATATAATTTTTTACAGTACAGTATTATGATTGCAATAGTAATATTTTTATTAGCTTATTTTTTACATTTAAATTACTATAAAGTTTAAATGACTATTTACTATTGTTAATATTATTAAATAATCATTGTTTAATTTAAAGTACTGAAGTATGATTGAAATAGTAATATATTTCTTTACTGATTAGTTTAATTTTATAGTTTTATATAATAGAAATTATTTTTTAAAAATTGATAGTAACAATAATAATTATTATTATTAAATCTTATTTATGATTGCAATAGTAATATATTTCTTTATTGATAAATTTGATACATTTTATCACTTAAATTATAACATTTAACTGACTAATTACTGTAATTATTATTAGAATATACTTTTGAGAATAGTTTTTTTTGTGTGTGTTTGTAGGTGATGAGGAGCCCCCTGCTGTCAGCTCTCTGCACTGCGCAGCTCCCACTATATGCAAAGCAGAGCTCCATCACAACATCCATCAGAGTGAAGGACTCATAGCCGCTGCCTCCACTTAGTGGCCCTCAGCTGTACTTGCATCGCCACTTTAATTCCTGTACTTACCACTGACTTGGACAAGCTGCCTGCGAGTCTTCAAAATCCCTCATCAGGGAAAATCTTTGACAGATCGGAAGGGATTGAACATTGAGGTGTCTGAAAACTGCAGGCACGTGTTTTGTCGAGGCGCTTTTTAACCAAAGTGGTTGTGTACTTAGTATGCAGCCGTGTCTGTGGTGTTACAGCTGTGTGTGTTACTACAAAATCCAGACCTTCTTGCCTTAAAAGTGCCATGAAGCTGTGGACATGAGCGTGTTGTGCTGAATGGGAGTCGTTTTAACATGTCATTTCACTTTTATTTATTGCATTAACGTGCTTCAGTTGTGTGGGATAACTTGAAAAGCAACAGATGTGTGTAGATGAGCACTTTGTGTTTTTCACATTAGCCCGGGTATCGTTTCGCTGAAGCTGTTCGGAGGTAACGCTCGATTTTAGAAGCATATCAAGAGCTTTTTAATGATTTTAGGCCTTAATTTGTTTCAAATGGATCTTTAAAAAAGTTTCAAACATGTTGACAGCAGCATAAACAGATAAGAATAGGTCTAATGTCTGTTTATGACAAAGGGAAGGACAAGCTAAAAAACTGAGATGTGCCGTATTGTTAACTTTATGAGTTTTATTTGTGTACTTTGTTTATCCAGGTTTTGTACAGTTTATTTTTAGAATATTAGAAGGGATTTCTACATTATATAAACTTTGTACTGTTTTATAGTACTCTAATGTAGGAGATATGACTTAATAAAACTAAGATTTATATGCATTGTGAGTTATTTGTGAAGCTTCCTATATTTGAAATGTGTAAGGCAAAAATATGCTTAAAATCACAAGATTTCTTACGGTTTACACAATAAATATATATATATATATAATATAATAATTTGTGTGCAGATTTTTGTATGCTAAAATCTTTAGAGTGACATTTTAAGTGATTAATATTATATAATATATAAACATTTATTGTAAGCTAATAATATGCATATATATATATATATATATATATATATATACAATACAAAATATTACAAATAATGAAGAGGTTAAAAAACTCCAGTGACATCTTAAGTGATTAAGTGA